ACAATTGGGGAGGAGGCAAAGCCGACAGGGAAATGTGGGCTCCCCTGCTGGATAACTACTTTCATTGGAAAGCGTGAATAGGGATGGGGGCTGTTCAGAGTAGGCAGGGCTATAGCACCTGTGGGCCTCACAGTGAGCTGACTGTTCTGACTGGTGCGAGTAAAAATTAGAGTGGGTTGAGGGGTGTTTGGGTTTAGCCACAGCATTAGCTGGCAGAGGCTGGCACTGGGAGCTAATTCTGACAAGTCAAATGCCAAAACCACCTGGAGACTGCATAATCTGGGAGTGGGTATGGCCTAGTAGGGAAATAGTGGGCACCTCCCTCACTGGACAGCACGAAAACCAGGCTAGGAGCAGGGGTGGCTAGACAGAAAGGCACCTGCCAGTGGGTGTATGGGCTGGATAATAGGTTGGTTGGGTTGAACTAGGCTTCAATGTCCATTGACGTGTGTGAGAGTTAAATGGGTTGTGGGACAGACTGGACAAACCTGCGGTACATACTGGCAAGCATGGGAACCAGGGTAGGGGGCAGAAGTGGTAGGGGTTTTGGGGAGTCGCCCCAACTAGGCTGCAGCTCCAACTGGTTTGCATGAAGACCGAGTATGAAGTGGGTAGGATCGACCTGGACTACAACACCCACTGGTTCACAAGGAAGACGGGGCTGGAAACCGAACAGACCCAGCAATCACAACGACCAGCATATGCATAAGCTGATTGGTGTGACAAACGGTGTTGAAGTCTGTACTAGCAAACTCACTCAAGAATCAGATCTGGGATCAACTCAGATGAAGTTTCTTTGGATATCTCTCCAACTGAACTGCTGATCTTGGAACCCCAACCATCAAGAGACTGTCAGCTAGTGGACTCTGAATAGGTTTCCTTGTGGTTGGGACGGTGAGATTGGCAGCAATCCAGAACTGATGAACTATCAAAACTGTTTGAGCAGGACCCTTGGAGAGCGCCTCATGTTGGGGATCGGGGATGGGTGGGAGGTTGGGTGGAGCTTTTCCCTTTGTTACTCCCCTAACCCCAGATACATGGCAAAATGATTATATTAGTGTGGAAACAATGATATTACCCACTTTCACCCTGTAGCCCTTAACCCTTTGTACCCTAATAAACTAAGATTATAAAAAAAAAAGAAAAAAAACCTGACATGCTCAAGGTACAATTAACATATCAATCCAGATTGTACAGTTTTGTCTTGAACTTTATTAAGCATGATGCACCCTCTAAGAGGGAAAAAAGTTATGATATCACTGGCTATTTTCTTTGCTTGGGAGGTCAGCCTCCAATCCTGCTGTCTACATAGGCGAGACTGTGCTTATGCACGCACACACAGTCTTTCTACTCTTATGTCCAACCATTTACTACTTTTCTTCTATTTTATTTGACAACTACTATATATAGTTTGCATGTGGAAGAAATGTGCTTATGTGATTCCACTTTGGGATACTTAAAAGGGCCATTAAAAAAAGTAACAAGCAATCAGACTGATGAGGTATTTAAACGTCAGCTATAATACAAGAATGCAACTGGCCCAAATGGAAAGCAGGCAAAGATGAATAGTGTTCTCTTCCAATACACTAGAAAAATACGTTAATATCACCTAACTGAATGGAAAGAAAACCAGCTGACCTTGTGTGTTGGATCCATCATTAAATGTTATAGCTTGTAAAAACACAGCATGTTGATGAAACAGATGGCTCTTTACATTAGCTTATTCCATCCCAGTCCCTCCTCATCTCCCCTCAGATGTTGATGTGTAATATAGAACTTTGTTAGGTGATGAGACTGTGGCTGTGCTGTGGGCAAAATCAACTTATTGCCACCAACCTCTAGATTTAACTTACCTGCTGTTACACTGCAGCAACATAACCCCCTTACTACCTACTTCTCCACTGAAATGCTAAATACTTTGCTCACATCTCGTGGACCTGACCTCTACAAAAGACCAAGCAAAACACAGCTTAAAAGCTCCAACGGCTGGCCAGTGTGTGAATTGGTAATGGAATGGGGTGGACCAGGCAGGACTGAGCAAACCTTAGCACATGAGCAAAACTAGAAACCAGCATGGAGCTCAGGTCATGCCGAGCTAGGCCCTTGCACCTACTGGTCTGCATGAGCCAGGGGCGCTAAGCCACAGTGTCCAAGGCAGGGGTTAGGACATGTGAAGGGCTGAGCCAAGCTGAGTCAGAGCAACCACTGGCATGCGCGTGGTTTATGGCTGGGAACAGGCCCGGTTGGGGAGCTAAGGGGACAATCCTAGCTGGGTTGAGGTTCCCACCAAAGGGCGTGTGGCCTGGAATGGGAGCTGTGTTCTGATCATGAAACAGTTGCAATCTCCCTAGGCAAAAGTTTGGACTGGGACTGGACGTACCAAGCTGGGCCAGACACTGTCTAGTGTCCTGGAGGACCTGGGTAGATGTGGGACGGACTAGGCTAGGTCTCAACCCCTACTAGGCCATGTGTGAACTGTATGTGGGTATGGACAAGCGTGGCTGGACTGAAACATCCAACAGCAGGAACCGGTTTGGGTTGAAGGCCAGTCAGGAAAAGCCACTGTTCCTGCTAAGACAGGAGGTAAACTGAGTAGGGCTGGCTCATGGACTCCCTGGTAAGTGTGAAATCTAGCAGTGGGAGAGGTTCTGATGGAGGAGCCTGAGCAACTCCTCTGGCAGGACACAGGCCCTGCAGGTAAGTGCAAGAAGCATGATAGGAAACAGCCCAGACAGGCCATGGAAAGTTTCCAACTGGCATACATTTGGCCTGAGTCGGGGGAAGACCAGGCTGAATCAGATCATGTCATCCATTGGCAAATCCAAGCACCGGAACAGAATGTGGGTCGGGCCAGGTTGGGTCGTGACAAAAATCAGTCCGCAATATGGAATGCCAGGGTGAGGTTGCCTGTACCAGATGGGGCTGCAGTGCGCATCCAACATGTGTGAGAACCAGGAAGGGAGGGGGCAGAGTATGCAGGGGAATAAGGGGTGGTTCCAGCTACTGCCCTGGAGAGCTTGAGCTGGGATGGGGGCAGACCAGACTAAGCAGGGCTACAACACCTGTGGGCCTCATGTGGACGAGATCAGGGAAAAGCCAGGCTGGGCTGATTGTTCCTACTGGTGGGTGAGGGTTGTTTGGGCTCAGCCGCAGCATCAGCTGGCAGAAGCTGGCACTGGGAGCTAATTCTGTCAAGTCAAACCACACAACCATCTGGAGAGTGCATAATCCGGGAGTGGGAGTGGCCTGGGAGGGAAATAGTGGGATTGAAATAATGGGATTGAAAGTGGAGCACCTTGGACATGAACTAGCACCCATATTACAACATGAATTGCAGGCTTTTCCAACTATGCCAACGGTGGCCCCAGGCCTTAGATTTAAAATTCACAGTGGCAAGCTGATAATGAAGGAATGCTTAAGAATTCAAGGTTTTGTCTTTTAAATTTATGTCAGAACCTCTATTGTATAAGAATTGAAATTGACCTTGTGACCTATAATTTGTCATAAAAAAAGATCTCTGAATGCAAATGAGTGTGATAAAAATTTCAATATTTTCTTGCACTTAACGTTTCCAGACAACCTTTTTACATTTTATGGCTAAAAGAATAGGAAATTTTTCATGTGAAATAAAAATCCACCCCAACCGCCTATGTTGCTTTGTACCTAGGCAAGTGTTACACTGCTATAATAGCAGTCAATAGCTGCTGGGCCTGGTTAACGCCAAATCTGCATTAACTGTACCAGTATGCAAGCATACCTTTTTTTTTTTTATTTAAAGTTACCAACCAGGCCACTGCACTTGCAAGCAAACAAGGGGCCCAAGACCAGGTGGTTTGGAGAAGAAAACCAGAGGACCATTCTTGGTCAGGCTAATGTACCATCTTGAGCTAGTCTAGTTAGTACTGACCAGTCACTTCTTACCAGTGCACATGAAAGCTAGGGCTGGTGGGGGGTTGCGGGGGTAAGCCCACAATACCCACCAGTGAGTGTTAAGGGAACAGTGGGCTATGTTAGCTTGGGTTATGACACTAAGCAGCATGTGAGACCTGGGTCAGAGGGCAAATTCTGTGGGAGATTTGTGAGCTCATTCCTTTGGGACTGTGATACTCGCTAGTTAGCTTGAGGGCTGAGCTAAACATGACCAAAGAACTCACCAAAACTCAAGGGAACTGGAGTTGAGAGCAGACTGGGTTGGTCCAGGCTGCAGCACCCATAGGCCAACCAAGAACTGGATGTGGGGAGGGCCAGGCTGCAAGATCCACCAGTGCACACCAAAATTGAGATGGGGATGGACCACCAGGTAAGGGGCCTAGCACCCAGTGGCAGGTGTGATTTGTGGTCGGACCTTGGACTACAAACATGTGTTGGGACTGGGCCTCCTCGATTGCTAATGCCTCTGCGATGGACAGCAAGCCCAGGTGGTTATGGGGTACAAGATAGATGGCCAGCTTCTTTAGGCCTAAGAGGATGTTGGCTGCCATGTCAGAAGATGCACAGAATGGGTTAGACAACTCTGGCTGAGCTTTGACAGCAAGTGCCTGAGTGAAAGGATGCACTGGCATGGACTCTGTTTAGCCAATGGACCTTGGGAGGATTTTTTTCAACCTTGGGGCAATGAAACCAGCAGCATCTCAGAATTATTAAAACCACTCTAGCAGTACCCTCAAAACATTCTTCTCCACATTGGGCTTTCTAAAATGACATCAAGTGGACATTTTCCATCCCTGGGCACTGATAGTTTGGCACCTGGGAAGAGTCCCCTCTCCTCCTTTGTCCACTCCACCCCAGCCAGATACAGGAGAAAAGGGTAGAAATACAAAATTGGAAGCATTTGTCCCACCCACCTCCCCTCATGCCTTGGCCCTCTCCACTCAAATCAGTGATTCTCATGGACACACATCCTTGTCAACTATGTAAACAACACCAAAAGTAAAAATGAATTAGAAAAATTCTTCACTAGACAAATTTAGTATATAAAGTAGCAAAAATGACAAATCAAAAAAGGTAAACAGAATAAAACATTTATTGAAACATTATGTGATAAACTTTGATCCAATGCTATACTAGTAAACATTTCCCCCTCATAAAATTTGCTTAAAACACAGCTGAATTAAAACATAATCTGACTAAAACTAGAAAATGATTCTGAAAACACAAAAAAACTTTTCCCTTTCAGTGATTGAACAGTCAGATGAGTGCTTATCTAGTTTTTCTGGATGAATCAAAGTCAGAGAATGGTAACTTATGAACCAATCAAAGGTTCGACTTTTAAAATTTTTTTACCCTGTTTACTAGTTCAAACTCAGAATTCTCATCCCATGAAACACAGATTTCATGGACTATCCCCCCGCCCTCTCCATCACAGGTACCTTACCAGTAACAAATCAGGGATAACTGCTCAGTTTTAAACTGTATTTGTAACATTCTCTTTTTGATAACTGACCAACCAAAGGCATACAAAATGTTCTCTGAACTTTCAGCTTCCTCCACCTCTTGCATGTCAACAGTAATTTACACAGGTCATTTGACTTGAGCTCTCTGCTCTATAATAGCACTTCTCAACAATGTGTGTGACACACACCACAGAGGTAGGAAAGACCAGCTTTAACAAATTATATTCTTGTCAAAAATTTCTGAAAATAAAACTGACAAAATGCTACCCTCTGCCCCTTAGATGAGTCCTACAGGCCCACAGATGCACTGCCTCCACCCTGAAGAGCTAACCCCTGGAGCGTTGCAGCAGTTTGGGGTGCTTGCACTGCACCAGGGCTCTGAACACTGCTCTCCATCAACATTGCCTTCGCCACTCTCACTTGCCGATTCTTTGGACCACCCAGTCTTGCTGGCAGAGCGGGCAGCGATTGTTCTGCTTCACCCACAGGGACATGCAGCAGTTGTGAAAGGAATGGTTGCATTCTCCCCAGACCACTGCAAGAAAGAAGAGTTGACATCACATATTTCAGATGAAATTACTAACCTTAAAATTATAGCTTATTGTGATGGCTACGGTTCATTAGATGGTTAGTTGGTCAAAATAATTTTTCAATTTTACAAAAGCAACAAGACTTTACATGTGTAACCTGCACTTGAGAAACAAGATAACATACTGAGTTTGGGGGACTTTCCTGGCCCTACTTTAAAATCCATGGGTTACGTGGCAACTCTAAACTCCTGGAAAGAGCCACATGCTCTTTCTGAAGTTAGGAGACTAAGGGACTTGAACCTTCCGTACATCCCACACCTTCTCAGTCATGCTCATGTCAGGCCACATACATCTTCTGGCCTTTGTTTGATCAAAAAACATGCTGCACATTTTTATGCGTCAATGTATGAATTTTAAATGTTTTACTTCATAGTATGTTGCTAGGAACAAATGACATGCTTTTTAACACTAACAGTTATAAACTCAGTAAACTGTTTTCTAGAAGTGAGGAACTGTGTTGTCATCCATACACAGGGCAGTTCTTCGGTGACAAACAGAATTAATATTTCCAAGAGGCCAGCTGGAGAGAAAGCCTGTTTGCTTCAAATAAAGTACCTCCCCTCACAATTTCCAAACTAGTAATTCTTAACAAGTAGCATGGAAGCAAGGGAGATCACTCACATTTTGGAGTACAGTCTCAAACCATGTGTCCCACAAAACCAGATTAAATGAAATGAAATAGGAAAACTGGCAGGTTGGAAGCAAAAAGAAAACAGTCTAAATGTTTGGGACAGGGGAGGAAGAAACAACTGGATCAATTATTAATCAGCTGTAAATGAGCCATGCAAACACAAATCACAGGTAATCTTTTTACTCTAGGAAAATACATACTTTGATACAATAATCCAGAAATGATCACTTTGAGAAGCAGACGTTTGTAAAAGCCTCAGAACTAGGTGCAGAAGTGAAGTGGCCACTTGGAACGGTACCTACATCCTGTGTTGGAGTGCCTGGTCACTCCCAGCTCTGCTCTAGACCCAGCTTCCTGTTAACTCGCTAGCCAGGAGGCAAGTGATGCCTCGAAGTACCCAGGACTTTCCCACCATGCGGGACACCTGGATTGAGGTCTGTGCTTCTGGCTTTGGTCTGGATCAGCCTTAGCTGTGGTGGGCATTTGGGAAGTGAACTGACAGATGGAAGAGCTCTTCACCTTTCAAATGAAATCAGAAAGAAATCTTGGAATTACGTAAAGCATGTAACTTAAGACAATGCTTGCAGTCTAAGATCATTAAGAAAATTTGTAACAAACTTCAACAAACAATAAACCAGAGTTGAAAAAAATATTTAAGACAGAACATTTCCTATTTTGGCTGAAAAGTTAAAGATAGTATATATATATATAATAAGAGTACTAAATCCCATAATGGTTTACTGGAGCCCATGATAAAGACCGAGTTGGAAAGAGCGCTTCTACCCACTAGCTCACTTGTCTAATGCGAGCTGATAGCCAGGGTTGTGCTGGCTTAATCCAGATCCAGGTCTCCTACTTGCCATCCATTGTCACTTCCCAGGGTGCATCTTAGGAAGAAACTACCATCAGGAACAGGGCCAGGACTCAAACCCAAACACTCTGACGTGGGGGTTGGGTGTCGCAAGGGGTTTCAACTACTACATCAAACAACGCGCTAACAAATTCTTTTTTTTAAAATAACTTTCATAATAAAACATACCTTCTTAAGATTACATTTGGGATAATTAAACAAAAAAAAAAAGATTTACTAATTTTTATTGCAAAGTCAGATATACAGAGAGGAGGAGAGACAGAGAGGAAGATCTTCCATCCGATGATTCACTCCCCAAGTGACTGCAACAGCCAATCCGGAGCCAGAAGCCAGGAACTTCCTCCAGGTCTCCCACATGGGTGCAAGGTCCCAGGGCTTTGGGCCATCTTCAACTGCTTTCCCAGGCCCCAAGCAGGCAACTGGATGGGAAGTGGAGCTGCCAGGATTACAACTGGCGCCCATATGGGATCCCAGCACACTCAAGGGGAGGACTTTAGCTGCTAGGCCACAATGCTGGGCCTAAACTTACTTTCTTTTTTTAAATTATTCGAAAGTCATATCTACTCAGAGAAGGAGAGACAGAGAAAAAGATCTTTGTCTACTGGTTTACTCCCTAAGTGGCCACAATGGCTGGAGCTGAGGTGATCTAAAGCCAAGAGCCAGGAGCTTCTTCCTGGTCTCTCACACAGTTGTGGGCCATCCCCTACTGTTTTCCCAGGCCACAAGCAGGGAGCTGTAAGGGATATGGAGCAGCTAGGACCGGAACGGATGCCCACATTGAATCCTGGCACATGCAAAGCAAGGACATTAGCCACTAGGCTACAGCACTGGGCCCCAATTATTAAATGTAACTGTAACAGGACTGTCTTGCAGATTCACTCCATTGAGGCCTGTTGAAAACCAACATACTTTACACGAATGCGATTTATATTTGTGAATGTGCTTATTTTTGTTCATTGGTAAAATCAATCTTAATCTACAAATTCAAATATCCCCACTGAGAGAAAACCCTTAACAGAGAAAGCAAGAGTTGGAAATTACAACATACCAACACAATCTTCTTGTTTGTTTTCAGCTTGACATCTCAGGCAGGCATCTAAAAGTAAGCAAACAGCAATCCTCATTCTGAGGCTCAGAACTGAAATCTCGAATACACTGATACTTCAAAGTCAAAAGCCCGCAGGGTTAGAGCTGCAAACAAAGAAGTCACATTTCTCATCTGCAAATAACTATTTAAAAAGTAACTAAGCACCAGGTATTCTACCAGCTTAATTTTGACCAGAAGCAATTTCTTTCTTCTTAAAAGATTTATTTATTTTTGTTGCAAAATCAGATATACACAGAGAATTATTTTTCTTTGTAAGGCAGATTTTTTACAGAGAGAATGAGAGACAGAAACAAAGATCTTCCGTCCATTGATTCACTCCTGAAGCAGCCGCAAGGGCTGGAACAACGCTGATCTGAAGCTAGGAGCCAGGAGCCAGGAGCCTCTTCTGTGTCTCCCACATGAGTGCAGGGTCCCAAGGCTTTGGGCCATCCTCAACTGCTTTCCCAGGCTACAAGCAGAGAGTTGGCTGGGAAGCAGGTTGGCTTGGATTAGAACCTGTGTCCATATGGGATCTTGGTGCATGCAAGGCGAGGACTTTAGCCACTAGGCTACTGCGCCGGGCCCGAGCAGAACTTAATTTCAAAAGTTAACAATTCCTCTTTCTTCTTTTTCACAGTCACTGATGAAAAGATATATTGACAGCATTGCTAGAGAAAAATATAGCATTCTCTACTATGTTAGAAGTTACTGGAAGCTCCTCTGGCACGCTCACATAAATCAACACTAAGGGCAGTCTATCCAAGACATCCTTTTAAATATGCCATGCGCACAAAGTAAAATTTTATGGCAAATGGACTTAAGAGGTAAGCTTATTTTGGTGTAAAACATTTTTCACAATCCGTAAAATATGTTTTAAAAGGTTAGTGGAAAATACAGATAATGAAACAACTGTCTGGAGTTCAGTTTCTTGCACCAAAATATCCTTAAGAATCTTTGCTTATTTCAAAGGCAGAGAGGGACAGAGATGCTCCACCTGCTGCACGGTCAGAGACCGGTGAAGTTGCAGTCAGGAGCCTGGAACTCCACTGGCCTGCCACACGAATGGCTGGCGCCTCATATCTAGGCCATCCTCCCGTTTTCCAGGAGCGCCATCAAGGAGCTGGACTGGATGCTGAGTTGCCAGGGGTAAACTGGCATTCAAGACAGGAGGCTAGTGTTGCAGCCTGTGCCACAACACTGGCCTCTGCTGTTTTAATTCCACTTTGCATGACCTTTTGGAAGCACCACTGTATATACCTAGGAAAATTCTTGAAGGTTACCCAGAAAACCAACAATAAAAATTATTGGGAGGTGATATCATGGGCAAATTTTCACTGAATACCTTCTTATATTTTTGGAGTATGTGACTGTATAACCTATGTACAAATCAAATTCAGAACATTTTTCTGATTACTTCATAAACAGATCTGAATTACCAAAATTTATTAGTGGAAGTCTTCTTTCAATGATGCATAAAAACAACTTCTTAATTTTCTTCAAAATAAAGGCTTTGGAGCCAGCTCCCTGCTGAGCCCTCATTTCACGGCCCTGGACGAACAGGAGCCTCAGCAGTGAGAGCGAGCACTGCCACGACACACCCCTGTGAGGAGTCGGCTGGCTGAAGAATTAGCTCCTCCTTCCTAAATACAATGCTCTTCTCCAGATAGTGCTCCCTTTACAGATGAATCTGAGCAGGAAAGATTTTGATAAATTACCTGGGATTTAAGGATGGGAACAAAGAGGGATGAGAAACATTCAAAGTTCGATCTGTACTGCCAGCAGGTAATACAGTATATTTCAGGGACCACTGACATGGAAAATGAATCAAAATCGGGCAAAAGAAAATTTAAACCAACAGGAAAATGTTTCTAACATAACAGTAGAAAAATAATTGTGAAAAAAAGGAAAAAGAAAAAAAAAAAGCCCAGAAACCTAGCAGTGCTGAAGCCTGCTGCTCTCTACACGCTGTCATCTTAAAAACACAGCACTGCCCTGGCCTCTACAGCCGCTGACTCTCAGGACACCAAAATGGCCACAGCTGGGCCCCCAGGAGCTCACCAGCAGCTGGAGATGTAGAAAAACACTCCAGCATCACAAGCATGGTGATGTAACAGTGCAGACACGCACCCTGACTTGCTCTAGTTCTGAGCATCGCTGCACTTTATTATCAGGGCCTCTTTTCCAAGTTGGGTGAGTAAGGTTACATGAAATGCTGCACTTGCTCCATTCACCATTTGCTCCTTTCCTGATGAAGGGAGGGCAGGGTAACCAAAGTGCAGGACGCACAGCAGAACAGGCTGGCGGCACAGCGTGGCAGAAAAACTGGTACAATCATTTAGGTGTGTGAGATAAATGGTAAGGAAATGGAAGAAAATGGGCTCTCATTTCAGAGTCTAGCGTATACCTTTAAGACTTCTAACATTAGCAGACTCAAATTTACACAAATCCCTCAAGTTTCAGATAACACAGAAAAAAAATGCTACATGCTGGCCCAAATATTCCAATAGCCAATTTCTAAGAAGTACAATAAATGCCTTTTAAAATTCTGCTAGAGAAGAATAATATCTGGGAGAAAAAGTTGATTTCTGCTAACACCCGATTACCACGTGAATTTTCATATTTTATACCAAGAAAATACAAGGACCCAGAATAACATGGCAGTTGTAAATATCAACTTTAAACCTGGAGGTGCAGAATATCTTCAATAATTAGAAAGTCAACTATGAGCCTCAAGTCAGCCCATTTTCAATATTCCAGGAAAAGTCTGTTGCAAAATTTCAATTATTATTTTAAGTCCTGCATTTCCACTTATTAGATTTTTTTCCCACTTTTGGGAAAAGATAGCTAATATAGCTGGTCTGAGATCTTTCAAAAAGAAAGAAAGAATGAAGGAATCGTAAAAAACTGAAGTTTATTTTCCATTCAATGGGAAAAAAAATTAGGGAGTAAAATCTTTTAGTAAAGCTTGTCCTACAAAAAAGCAAAATTTAGGTCTTCTTGATGAATGATTATAATAATACAGTGCCTTCCAAACTGAAAATTATTCTGTCTTCTCCGTAAGGAGTGTGTGTGTGTGGTGGGGCGGGGATTATATCCATTTTAGATACTTTTAAAACATAATATGCAAAATAAGTGGATACTGTCTAAAATTAAGGCCTTTTAAAAAATTTATTACTTTTATTGGAAAGTCAGATACACAGAGTGGTAGAAAGACAGACAGATCTTCTGTCCACTGATTCATTCCCCAAGCTGACTCATTCCCAACGACAGGAACTGAGCCGATCCAAAAAAAGAAGACAGGAGACTCTTCCAGGTCTCCCGCGGGTGCAGGGTCCCAAAGCTTTGGGCTGTCCTCGACTGCTTTCCGGGGCCACAGGCAGGGAGCTGGATGGGAAGCAGGGTCGCCGGAGTTAGAACTGGTGTCCATATGGGATTCTGGTGCGTGCAAGGTGAGAACTTTTAAACGCTTGGCTACCGCGCTAGGCCCGAGGAAAGGCAAGAAACTACTGGAATCAGACAATTGTCAAAAAATAAAAGACAGAAGACAGCACACACCTGCAACTCTTGGCCCTCAAAAACATAAAGCAATTCTCGAATTTTTCTTCAATTCTCTTTTTTAGGGGCAAACCACATAGTTTTCAAGTTATAGAAACCTCAAGTAAAAAAAAAAAAAACACTTAAGAGGTAATTTCACACGCACTATTTAAAAACACAAGGTGTATTTAAGAGACACAAGGTGGTCTGAGATCTCAAAGACAAAAAAATACCAGGCAAAAATATCCAGGGCACGGAGATGCTTCTAAAAGACCTCACCTAGCACAAGTTTCTATTAAAAATATGACAAGATGTATTTGGAAAAAGAAATGTGGGAAAGAGACGGTAATACAAGGATCACCTTCTCCAATTTCTGGGAAACTACAACTCCAAGCTAGCCTTCTGCCCAGCGATGCCCTGGGAGCGGCTTCCATCCAGTCACAAGCGGCAGGGAGAGCAATGGCCGGCAGCGTCCTTCCCTGCATTCGGGCACACATCTGGACCTGCCACTCTGGCGCAGGACGAGCGTGAGCATCACTCCGGCAGGTGGACAGCAGCCCTGGCGCGCCCTGCTGACTCACGGTCTCCGCCTCGGCCCTGCCGCGGTCCTCCCCGGCTCCCAGCAAAATCACTCCAGCGCCATCTTCCAGGTCCCGAGCTCCGCCGCTCGGGCAGGCCCACCTCGAGCCCCGGGAGCAGCGGTGGGCGCCGCGGACGACCCCGCGCGGCCGGCGTGGCGCCGGAGGCCCGCGGGACCGGCCCCGGGCGTGCTTCCGAAGGGCTCCGGTCCGCTCGGTCCACCCCGCGGAGGCCGTGCCGAGCCCCGGCCTCGCGTGCGGTACTTACCCATCACCTGGACCCTGCAGATGGCGCACGTATCGCACTCCACGTCCCAGCTCCACATGGCCACCGCGTTCCACTTCTTGAGCGAGAACATTTTGTCGCCCCCCGACTTGGAGCCTGCGCTCCCGGGGTGAGAAGACAGGCCGCAGGTCTCCTCGCCGTCTTCCACGTCGGCCATGGCGGCGGCGCCGAGCCGGCGACGAAGACGTTAGGACGCGGGAGGGCCGGAGGGCGGGCGGGCGACCGGCGTTATGGCGGCTTCCAGGGGCCTCCCGACGGGCCCACAGCGCCGCTCGCAGGCCGCGGGCCTCCGCGTCGTCGGGACCCAGGCCACCCGCGATTGGCCGGCGCGGTCGGTGGCGTCGCTGCCGCGTGCGCCGGGGGCGGGGCCGGCGGTGGGTGGTGTCGCTGTCCGCGTGCGCCGGGGGCGGGGACGCGGCCGGGGGCGGGGACGCGGCCGGGGGCGGGGACGCGGCCGGGGGCGGGGACGCGGCCGGGGGCGGGGACGCGGCCGGGGGCGGGGACGCGGCCGGGGGCGGGGACGCGGCCGGGGGCAGGGACGGCGGCCTCCACCGCTCCCGGTCCCGGCTGCCCGCGCCCCCCGCCGCTCCCCGCGCCCCCCGCCGCTCCCGGTCCCGGCTCCCCGCGCCCCCCGCCGCTCCCCGCGCCCCCCGCCGCTCCCCGCGCCCCCCGCCGCTCCCCGCGCCCCCCGCCGCTCCCCGCGCCCCCCGCCGGGGCTGCTGGCTCGGCCTTGTCCTGGTCTGCCAGTCTGCCCTCCTTCTGCGGTGGGAACCGGGGTGCGCCAGGTTGTGCGGGAGCAAGACGCCTGCTTACAGCCCCTATTAAATTTACCACTTTGGTCAATTTAACTGTCTCGTTAACTTACTCGTTTGCATCTTCTCTCCCAAGTGTGACAGGAACTGGGTTTTTACTGTCTCCTGGAGACCTTAGACGGAGCCTGGTTCCTCGGGAGCTTGTTGATGAGCGAATCATCTGAAAGTTCTAGAAATTGTTTAGTGAGTCCTCCAACAGTTTGGTCTTGGGACTCCTTTACGTTTAAAAATTATGAAAACTAAACTGAAATAAAAAACATCAAAACACATGGGATGTGCAAAAAACAAACAAACAAAAAAACAGTATGGATTGGATTATTTCAGTTTTGTTTATTCCAAATAATCCCTTTGCTCTTGTCAAACTCATTGCTGGTCATGGATTAAACGGCGGCATCATTTTTCCCAAGACACTTTTGTGTTTCCTTTTTGTCACTCGTGTTGGTTACTCAGTGGCACACTTTTTTCATGGTGCTGTAATTTATTGTTCTAATTGTTGTGGCTGTTAACTCATACCAGGTGTTGACCTTGTTTCATGGCTTCTCGCTTATGGTAATGTATAGTGATGGAATACTGGGGCCTATCATATACAGACGTGGGGGTACAATGGAACATGCATCCCTGCATCCAGACGAAAGGTAGATTCCCAATGAAACTGTTGGACATGTGTAGACAATGGGATGCTGGACTGCTGTACAGACCATGTCAGGGTATACTTAAGAGACTAATAGAATTATGATTCCTTATGATGGACCATAATGTTGTAGTAAAATGGAAAATCTGTCGGGGGTGAGAGTTTGGGTGGGGAACCCCAACTTATATGAAATTGTACCACGTGATTCAGAATTAAAAGTAAAAGTATATTAAAAAATTATGAAAACTTGGTGATTGGCAGCATAGTTAATTTTTTCAGACATGAAAACAGTATCTGCTTAAAAAGAATAAACCCATTACAATTTGTTATTAAAGAATATTTCCAGAAAACTCATGTGTACTCAAAGTGAAAAAGAAAATAATTGTTCTGTATGTTGTTACCTTTGACCCCACTTGTCTCCTGGAAACTCTGGGGGACCATTTTTCAACTGTTATAAGCTTCCTTTGTATGTAAGAGTAATGAGGTGCTGACAAGTGAATTAGCAAAGCCTATACTGCCACTATGCGATGGGGATAGTTTTGAAACCAAGACTGGGAACTTTTTTTTAATGATTTATTTATTTTTACTTGAAAGGCAGAATTACAGAGAGGAGAGACTGAACAAGTAAGATTGATCAATCTTCCATCTTTTCCAAATGGCCACAAGGGCAGGGAATGGGCTGGTCTAAAGTCAGGAGCTTTTTCTGGGTGTCTGAGTTCAGGGTCCTAAGGCCTTGAGCCATCTGCTGCCTTTCCAGGCCACAAGCAGGGAGCTGAATGGAAAGAACAGCTGGGACACAAACCAGCACCACTACAGGATGTACCATTTGCTATACCACAGTGTTAGATTCACAGCCCAGGTGTTAGGAATTCTGAGTTTTTAAACTCACGTACCCATGGGCAAAGAGGGTTGAACAAAGCAGGTGGAAATGGGTCTTATGGAGAGGCTTAGCAGTCTTGTTCACCAGGAGGGCTGCCCTAGAGAAAATTCTGTTGAGATCTGGGTATTGGCAGCTTATATAGGGAGTGCATGTTGAGTGATCACATCACTTACTTATTTAGTCAAGTGTCTGCTTTTTCTGTGTAAGTGGTCATGGTTACTGACTTGAGCCGTGACAGCTGAAAAATGTTGTTGACCCGAGTGATTAAGTTAAGGCGTGCTACCAGATCTAGTGTAAGCACTTGAAACATGCTTTGTGCTAGAGCCTGGTTGGTTGTAGTTACCCCAGTGCATGGGTTCCACTACCTTGCTCTCAAATCTTTTCATTTTCTTGGGCAATGTGTTTTGTCTGCTCAACAGATGTCAGATGTCACATAAATACTTTCTTTCCTATTCCCACAGCTTTCCTAAGTGCCTAGTAACCTTTGAGTGCTTACAGAATTCTGGTGTCTTTCCAAGCAAAGCAGGCAAAGAAGGAGCTGCCAGGCTCACAGGCCCTTCTCGGTGGCTCCTGCTGTGTCAGCTTTGCATCTCTACACCTGATACTTTGCGCTCCACTTCTCACTATCCTGCATCTCCTGATTCCAGGTTTTGTGCCTGAGAGGGAGTTAAGCAGTCACATGGACCTACCGAAACTTCAGTATGGACCGTTTGTGTGGTGTTTGTTGAGCTATGGGTGGGTGGTGCTTGCGGAGAAATCTTTGAGGACTGCCACAGGGAGGGAAAATCTCAGGGAAGGGGTCAACTTTGAACTGGGGAGAACAGGAGGCCAGGAGGGAGAGAAAGGCAAACATCTCTGGCTAGAGCAGAACAATGCTGTGGCAGATAGGAAGTCGTACTTTTCTTCAGATAGAAATGACTGTAAACAAACCCAGATATACAAAAGGCATGTTCTGCCCCTCCAAGGGACCACATACTTAACTAGGGATGGCTGTAAATGTTAGAGCTACCTGGTGAGGGAGGAAGGCTGGAACCAGAGGATAAAACACACATGGAAGGCTTGGTGGGGGGGGGTAGTGGTGTTAAGCATGAGGAATAGCACCTGTGGAGCCATGAAACCTGCAGGGGGAGAGAGAGAGAGAGAGAGAGAGAGAGACTCTGACTGACTCATGTCTTCACTGGGAGACCAGAAGCCTGGACAAGACTGGTGTATGGTTGGAGTATTGAATAGAAAAGACAGAGGGACATGAAAAGAAGAGGGGGACATGGCTAACAAGCAAAGACTTATTAGCCACACTCCCAGGCGAGGTCCTGGTTCAAGGAGAGGCATTGGGCCAGTGGATTCGCACCTTCCAACGTTGTTTGGGGTTGATATAGGTGCCAGAGTGGTGAGTAGGGTGGGGGTGAGGATTTTGTGAATTAGAAAGTTATTTACAGGTCATAATGAACTTTGGGGTTGGCAGATTCTGGAAATTGGGAATATTTTCAGTAAAACTTTGCACCTGTATCAGTAAGAGGTGAGAAAACCGCCCCAGCGTTTTTCCTGGTGCTCTACCACCACAACTGAGCCCCCTTGCCCAGTCAGCCCTACAACTGGCCACGTGGGAATCGGGTAAGGAGGAGAGGACAGTGCTGAGAGTTTTCACCTGCCAAAGGGAACAGGGATGAAAAGATGAAGGTTCAGAAGCAGGTGCAGGGAGTGCAGGCTGCAAAGGGTGTTTGTGTCCTGGGGCTACTAGAGTGGGAGCCACCATGATCCTGAAGATTACTCTGATCAGTTTGAGTGGGGACAAAAGCCAGACTCATGCTCAGGTGTACTTGTCTCCTCAGCTGGTGCTCAGAACCTTTTTGGCAAGGCTGCTTAATTTAATTAATTTATTTCTTTGGTGGAAAGACTTTCTTTAAACCAAGTATTTAAGTTCTGCAGGAGAAGTTTGTCTCCCAAGGCAACTGAACATTTGTTTATTCTTATTTTATCTTCACCCATCATTTCTCCCTTACCCTGTGCCTTTCATCTTTACTAAAATAGCTTTTCCTGGTGTCTCTGTGGAAAAGCTTTCTTCCATCCTGGGTGATTCTTGGAACTATTTTTAAGTGTATGGTTCAGTCATGTTAAGTATGTTCAGCCTGTTCTGCTGTCTGGAGCTTTTCCATCTTGTAAAGAGCTGGGTCCTTGACTAGGACCCTGCTTCCTCCAACACTTGACAAGTACTATTTTAGTGTTTGTCTTTGGTTCTAAGCTTTTCATTCTTGGATTTGTTCAGGACGTATCTTTTTCTGTGACTTGTTTATTGAACTCAGCATTAGGTTCTTACGGTTCGTCTGCATGCTAGCGTGTGTCAGAATCTCCTTCCATTTGAAGGCTGAGCAAGATCCCATTGTGCGTCTGTATCACATCATGTCTGTCATGCATCCATCAATGGGCACTTGAGCTGCTTTCAACTTTGGTTTACTCTTGCTGCTGTGTGATAGCTCTTCATGGCCCTGCTCCCTATTCCCTTAGATCTATATACCTCAAGGTGAAAGGGGTGCGTCGTAGCCTGTCAACCCAATTTTAATGTAATTTTTTTCACATATATTATTATCTTGCCTGATTTTTAGTAGTAGTATTACTTGGGGACAGGCATTTGTTATGGCAGTTAAGATGCTGCTTGGGTCACTGGCATCTTATTTAGAAGTGCTTAAGTTCAAGTCCAATCCTACTTCTTACTCAAGCTTCCTTCTCTTGGGCAGCCTGGGAGGCGATGGTTCTAGACGTAGCTGAAGTCCCAGGCTCTTGGCTCCAACCTGCGGGAGCCCCAGCTGTTGAGCTAGTAGATGGGAGATCTCGGTCTCTCTTTCAAATACATTTTTAAAATTAGTGTTATTTGGATTCCTGCTCACATACTTCCACATACACATTCTTATTA